ACTGAGACCTGACTTTAGCATGTCGGATTTAGGCCAACATAGTTAAATGAAATAGGAATTTTTGCTTACCTTCTTCAAGAGTGAGAAGTTGATTTCTGCTTAGGCCAATAAGCAAAGGTGGTGAAATAGAATTAACTTTCTCAAGTCACTGCTATTCCCCAGTTGCTGATTTTTCATCAGCTGTGTAATGTATCTCATTTGGATTTCATTTAAGCATGAATTCCACAAACTATCTTCAAATATCTTTTTCAAAGGTGACTCTTTAAAAACTAAAATTAAAAATTGGTCCATTATATATGTGTGTATATATATCTCTGTGTGCGTGTGTGTGTGTAAATATATAAAAGGCATACATATACGTCCCTTACTGAAAGGCTTTTTCATAATTCACTTGTGATGAGGCTTGCTATAGTATTAGGTGAGTGTTTGGCAGGAATTTGAGATTAGATCATCTACTTCTGGGAAAGGGATTGAATTACTGTTTTTAAAGAAGTAAGGTGCTATGTGTTGATAGTTCACTTCTCAAAGAAGGTGTTTTGGATTGGGAGATTGATTTCAGAGGCAATAATGAACACTTGGAGTCACGTGGATTATTCAAAAGTAAAAAGATTCCTGGCCCCAGAGAAGGGACATAAACTTCCTGCACCATGCTTAACACACTGGGTCATGGAAGGAAGGGCTGGGATCTAGCATAGGCAACAGGAACATGAACTAACCTGGTCAGGAACAGAGATTTTTGGAATACTCTCTGTTCTCATTCAGACTATTCTAAATCTGAAACATTAGAGCTTCACCCATCCATGCTTGAAATCAGGATTTTCACACTTGAGCAAGCTTGAAGTAAGAGCCCATTTCTCCAAACGTTATTTACTTGGCCAGTCAATCTTTGTATTCCTTTTTCTGTTGTGTCAGATAAGAGGGCTTGGTTAAAAACTCAGTCCTTCATCATTCAGTTTCTCCTTGTGCAGCAAAGTCAACGCATTATTTTCTGCCAATCTCTTCCTTTCAAAATATTCTCACAAATTCAGCACAGTACTGCATGATCAATCATGATCTGGGAAAGAACAGACACTGCTTTAAATGCTAATTGTGCTGCAGATCATTTAAGGACACTGAATACATGAATATATGAACTGTCAAATTTGAAATCCCTCTACATATTTGAAGTATTACAGGCTGTGTCCTGTATTATTGGTAGCATAATCTTTACTAGACCTGCAGAAGTATTTGATTTATGAAATTGCTATCATGAGAATCAGGCTGTTCTTACTGTATTTATACATGTGAATGGTATTCTTTGCTATGTTCAACAAATTGAAAATGTGTAAGTGCTAAGAAAATTTCATGACAAAGAAAGAGAAACTTTTTGTTCAGATTAAGCTTGTGTCACTAGAGGGGCAAAATTAAGGTTATTTTATTTGTGCATGTCCAACTTTTATAACACACCATGCCTTCAGGTAAGATTTCTAATAGAATTTAATGTTTAAAGTTATTTATTTATTTCTATAAAAAAGTCCCAGGTCTGTTGAAACATACTGGGACTCAGATGCTTTGTGACTTCTCTACCATATTTTTTAAACAGCTCCAGGATAACTGAAACCTAAATCTGTGGAGTGCTATGGTATGATATTTGTATATGGCACTGACTAAGGTACACTGTGAAAAAGATGAGAACATTACATTTGTCTACATTTCACTCCATTGCCCTTCTCTTAAAAAAATGTCTGTCTTCCCATTGGCAAAGAAGTGATGCCCTCTGGTTTAATTTTGAACAGGTTTGCATGTACTTCAGTATGGAAGTCCAACTTGAACAGTAAGGTGGTTGTTCTACACTGAATATTTAGCTAGACCTTGATTTGTTGCCTCTATTGCAATTACATCTCAGAATCTCAGTTATGTTAGGATAAGGTTAAATATTATATAAGCAGAAATGGAGGCAGTCACTGCCCTAACGAGCTCAGCTTCAATGCACAGAGCAGGCAGACACTGAGAATGAAACTGAGCACTGATGTTCACATCTTGCCATTGCTAGTTACAAGCAGAATCTGTCTCTCTTGAATATTTGGATATGAATCCCCTGTACCAATCACATCCTCCCCCCTTAAGTATTTGGTTATCATTATGTGAAGAGACTAAACAGAGAAACTGCTTTCCCTGTTGCCTAATGGCTGTAACTCTTCTAAATATTATGTCTGTTCCCATTAAAAGTTGTCATTTGCTTCATCAGCACACATGGTCCTTCATTAAAGTCTCTTCTAAAATTGTATCCTTACTATTCTCCTATGACTGAAACACCAATCAGTGAAACTGCTATTTCTGAATCCAAGACTCTGTATTCACAGTATAATTTGATGTTTTGGAGCAATAGTCCCATACGGACTCATTATCTGGAAGAGCTAGCTTGTTAAATGGATGTATCGGAAAGGTCAATAGAAATGGAATTAAGGGGAATATTCTGTAGTCAGATTTTATTTTGTCAGGCTGTTTTATCTGTATATGTGCAAGAGGGGCAGTTTCACAGCAAGCGTGGACTATGAAATCTCAGAGCTCTTCTGCCTAATTCTTCTGAATTTATAGTGTAATTATGTTGCAAATATGGAAAAATTAATTTGTAGAGCCTTTCTATGCTAATTAGTAAGACCAGTAAAAGATGCTCACCTGCTAAATGCCTTTTTTCTTCTGTTTCTAGCTGGTTTACATGATTCCAGTCACCCTGTGTGTTGGTGTTATTAGTGCCTTCCAGCTATCAGCCTTCACTTTCCGAAAGAACTTGGCAGCCACTGTTCTCCTGCTGATACTCTTTGGGTATGTGATTGGAAATGCTACTATGGAATTATAGCTTGTAAGAAACAAAACAGAAATCTTTAGACTTGGTTTGCACCTGCTGCTGGATGCATGATTTTCTCTCTTTGGAAATGATTATGATTCAACAAAAGATAGTGAGAAAACAGGCTGAAGCATGAGTTTGAAAGTTCCATATAGAAGGTGGAGGAAGATTTGCTCATGGATTTAAAAAAAAAAAAAAAAGAAAAAAAAAAAGGACTGGAAATGTTTCAGAAAATACTCAGCCTGTATAACAATCATTTGCTGTTAGAAATTGATTGTATGTTATCTTCCAGAAAATGAGGGAATAACAACATAGTCAGGTCAGAATTTCAGTGCTTAGCTGTGCAGAATATCATCAAGAAGGTAAGAAGTGGCTGTCTTTTATTACAGTTCTACCCATTTTCTCTAATTCGGTAATTTTACATAGCTCCAGGAATTTATATTTCCAATGAGAAGTCTGTCCAATGTGGAGTACTGGGCTGGTTGGAGATTTGTCTCCAAACAGTACTGTGAGAGAGGAAAGTCCTCCCATATCATCCTCTTGCTTAGTTTCACGTGAAAAAACAGTTTAAAAAAGTTAAAATAACTCGTTAAACAAGATTGATTTCTCTATAGAAATAAGGCTGTTGGGCCCTGAACTCAATCAAACTAATGGTCTGTCTATTCTGTTCCTTTAACTCTTCCTACATGCAGTCCCAGGTGATGTGAGAAATGCTGGAGATGAATAGTTACAGGAAAAGCATTCTGAGAAGAAGTTTCTTCCTTATTTCAAGCAATTAATTGTTGCTATCTTTCAAGGGGGAATGCATATCTTATGAGACAGATGTTTAGATAATGAAATATAACTGGTCCATGAGAGAATCACAGAGAAGGAAAGTAGAAAGGACTTTCTGCAAGATCAGGACATGTTCCATTCCAGGAAGAGTCTCAGATAAACACTTAAAAAAACCCCTTACTGTGTTTTATCTTGAAACTGTTTTCAAGATCTCATGCCTCCAGCAACTCCTTTTTTGAAAAAATGTTTCAGTATCTCCATAGCTGGATGTAGTCTTTGAAATTCCAGACTAAGTTTATTTGGGGCCATACTTCATAATTCTCCCTCATCAAACATCTTTTGCATGCCCAAACAAGCCAAGTCCTCTCTTGTAAAAAGGCCTTCCCATTCCCTGGATAATTCTATTTATCATTTTTCCCTATAACTCCAATTTGAGCTCATCTTTCCTGAGCATGAGTGGCCAGACTAGTATGTAATATTCTAGAGGTCATGATGCCAGGATCTTGTAAATAACTCAAATGAAACATCCAAAATTCATACTTTTCTCCTCCTCTATAACACTCTCGTCTTCCTCCTCCTTCCTTCTGCTATACTACTGATTGATTCCTTCAAGTTAAAGGCAGAAATTCTTATCAGTCTTAGTGCAAAGACTTTACACTACTAAATCTCATCCCTGTTTTTTTTTATTGCCTTTACAACTGTTGAATCCTTCTTGTAATCCCGTTGCTGTGACCCTAGCATAAGAATAGCCATCTATAGAGATCTTAGTCAAGCAGCAAATGAACCATACAGTACATACTTGTATGTCTGCTGAAGTCATGACATGTTTTCTGTGGTGTCCTATAGGCTTTGGTCCTGCCCACAGTGTACTACTAAATCCCAGGTGCTAAGAGTTATGCTGGTATTGCTTTAACCAAAATGTTGAGTTAAAGTTTGGGTATTCCAGAAGAAACAAGCATTGACTGAAAAGCTGGACTGTCTTCTAAAAAGTTTTTTGTTGACTGTGGCTTAATCATCTCAGTATAATCCCTCCTGTACTCTTCATCTTTGGCTGACATAACAGATATTATAGTGGTTTTTAAGAAGAAGGTCTATGTATTCAGTGTGTCTTAACATGTATTAAAGACACAATAACTGTCAGTCAGTAAGTTTAACATGTCTCAGGGATACTGATAAATTTCAGAGTTACCGCTTTTCCTACTCTACCCATTACTCTGCCTAACTACACAGTTAATGTGATGAAGCCTATTGTGGTCCTTTTAACCTTCCACAGTACTGTGCATGTAATTCCAATTTATCTGCATTCCATAATGTATTTTTTCCTTTAAAAAATTTATTTTTCTCTTCAGGGTACACTTGTGAGGCATTTCTGACCTAGAATAAAGATAAAAATAGCCCAGTTATATGAAAAAGTTCAACTATGTGCCAGAAGGGGATGTGCTTGAAAGAACAATTAACAGTTTCCTAGTGTGCTACTTTAAAACAGATTTCCTTTAAAAATATAATGATCTCTTAAATAAACTGCATTTTTATCTCTTTTAGCTGATAGCAGAAGTGTTTTATAGTGCAACTGCTTAAGCACTTTTGTCCAAAATGCTCTATCTTTGATACTTACAAAATAACAAATTACAGCTGGAGCTGAAGCTGAAGGAAAAGAAAGAGTTAGGATAGAAATGTAAGCGTGACTGGCAGCTACTTTAAAGGCTGTGTTTGAACATCATACAACTTTAGTATTCCGAAAGTCTTACTCATTTCTTAGCAGCTATAAGCAAACAAATCAAATTTTGCTTTCATTTACAGCAGAGTAACAGCACTCTAAATCATGTCTCTTTCCTGAGCTGTTTCCAAGGATGAACTTGTCTTGTATTTACGGTACCATAATTCAGAGCAAAACTTGGAACAGTGATTTTGGTATGTGCATGAAAGAAAGAAAAGATTGTGTGATTAAGACTGGCAACAGGACACTGAAAAGTATAGTGTGATCTTGAATACTTACAGTCTTCGTCTGACACCCAAATATTAAGTCATTTAACCTTTACCTTCCTGTAAACGGAGGGTAAAATCACTATTACTTCACAGCAGGATTTGAAAGTGTGTTTATTAAGGCAAAGGATTTTGGCATTCTTAGATGAAAAAAGTTCATCTGTAAAATACACAATGCTGAATTTCAAAGGGACTTTTATGGCTTATAACCTAAACTACTGTTTAATGCAGTGAAGAAGTGAATTCACAGATTTTTGGCTAACTAGTTGCTCTTGCATTGAGCTCACTATTAAAAGAAATATATACATATATTAATACTATGTAAGAAGTATTTATATATACAACTATATATATATATACTCCATATATACTTATCATCATGCAATGGTGTATGCTTATACCTATGCTCCTGCAGCCTATATACTATTTGTTTGATAGATATGTCTTGCGCTATGTTGAATGGAAAATAAATTTCCTTTACATGACATTCATGCTCATTAAATTGCCTGGGCTTTTTTTAGTCTTGCTAGACATATCTTACTCTTTATAAAAAATATGACTGCTCCATTTGGATAGGCGTCATTTGACTTGCCAGAATGGAGGGTGCTTTCCCTCCTGCTATAAAGATTTGCAATGAAAATGATGTAACCATGGACGTGCTGTCTTATCATCATTGTGCTATGAAGTAACTATGCACTCATTTTTGATGGCTACTACTCTACTGATAACCTGGTTTAGGCAACAACAACACTAACATGATCTCTGGCAAATTTCAGTTCTCAGATATCACTGGCACAAATATTAGTTCCAGTTCAAGGATTAGTGCTTTTTTCTTTTTTTTTTTCCCATTTTTTGTTTTCTTTTTTTTTGTTTTGTTTTCTTCTTTTTTCTTCTCTCTCTCTTTGCTCACTCTCTCTTTCCTTTTTTGTTCTTTTTTCTTTCTACGAAAACCTCTAAGAAAAGCTGATTGCTCAGCATCCATGATTTAAGCTTCAAATATTTGGTTTTAATTCTATATCTGTGTAAGAGGTTTGTTAAGGTGCATGGTTTTGCAATCATTCAGAAATCAGGGTTGTGAGCTTTCTGGAACAGTGAAAGTAAATATATGCAGTTGATATATGCAAAAATGGATCATATCTGCCCATCACATGGCAGTAGCTCTGTGTACATCTGTGGAATCATAAGGTAATTTAATAAAGAAAACATAATGCAAATTTGTCCTTTTTTCTCAGTTAGTCAAAAGAGTTGTTTGCATATCTTAAAAAGAAGGAGTAACTATTTTTTTTTTCTAGTATAACAACTGCCTTTTTTTTTTTTTTGGTGAAGCCAAAATATAACTAACTTGTGGTAATTTTGTTTCTTAAAACTTTCAGATATGCAACTTTACCATGGATGTATCTTGTATCCAGATTCTTCTCAAGTTCAGATGTAGCTTTTATTTCTTACATCTCCTTAAATTTTGTGTTTGGCCTGTGTGCCATGCTGGTGACTCTCTTACCTCGTTTGTTAGCTATAATTTCCAAAGTGCAGGTCAGTATAAAACCTTTGCGTTACGTTACTCATAAGTGATATGTATGCACACACATATGTGTGTATATGTTCTTGTACATAGATGTATGTATGTTTATACATATGCACAGACAAGATTTTTTCCAGCAGAAAAACTTATGTGTTTTAAACATCCATGATTTTTCTGTCCTAGCATATACTTTATTGCTTGTTACCATCTTGAATTTTAAGTTGTTTATAAAAAAAAAAAAATAATTGCGCTGTAATAACAGAAAAACAGCGTTAATTGAAACCTTGACATTTTCCAGACCATTAAGTTGTAATTGGCACATAATGGGAGCTGTTCTGGTCCATTGAATAGATTATATGCATTGTAAAATGTGTTTGTATAATACTGACATAAGAGTTAAGCCGCATATTCCTAAGATCTGTAACGCACTGTATGAATAGTAATATGCATTCTCACTCCAAGTATGTAATTTTTATTAGTCATAGTGGTAATTAAGAAACTTGACAGAGAGGAGATCCAGAATGTGTATGAATATCTATGCATGTACCAGGTCAAAAATTTCATGTTTGAAGTCAAATCTGGATTACATCAGTGAAGTTTAGAGGCAAATTTGGTGTTGACCTGGGTTTAAGTTGGTGATTTGGAATTAATAGCATTCAAATATTAAAATTTTAAGAAAATAGAATGATCATGGCCACATGTGTTTTGTTACTGTCTGAGAACCTCAACTGAAATTAGAATCCCATGGCCCTAGGCACTCCAAAAATACAATCAGAGAGGAACCCTGCCCCAAAATAATTCACAATATGCTCTTCTGAAATTAGTTCACCTTGAGTGAGATTCGAATGCTGTATCCAGCTTTGTAAGTGTGCTTACTATGCTGTTGGAGAAAACTAATTTTTTTCCTTCCCACCTCTCCCCTCCCCCAAATCTTAATACAGAGTTTTCAGAACATCTACAATATCCTCAAATGGGCGTTCATCGTATTCCCACAATTCTGCTTAGGCCAGGGTTTAATAGAACTTTCATACAATCAGATCAAGTTTGACCTGACCAGCAACTTTGGAATAGACTCATATGTGAGCCCCTTTGAGATGAATTTCCTGGGCTGGATTTTTGTGGAAATGGCCCTGCAGGGAACGCTACTTCTTCTTTTACGGCTTTTTCTTCATTGGGATCTCCTCCAGAAACCAAGGTGTGTTACCATTTGTATTCTGCCATAGTGGACACTTGTCCTGGTTTCGGCAGGGACAGAGTTAATTTCCTTCCTAGTAGCTGGTACAGTGTTGGGTTTTGGATTTAGGATGGGAACAAAATTGATAAGGCACCGATGTTTTAGTTGTTGCTAGGTAATGCTTACACTGGCCAAGGACTTTTTAGTTTTCCATGCTCTAC